TGGGGGAGGGGGACACTTTTCTTTTTTTTGCATTAAAGGCTTAATTACATAAACACTGATGTCACATGCCCAGAGTACACTCTTTTTAGAAAGAGTTTTGGAAAATATATGGTAACCTGTCATACTATAATTAACAAAGGAAAATCCCTTGTTATGTAGCGGGGTATGGTTATCAATAATCATTACTGAAAGAACTGCATCCATGTTAGTAGGAATCTGTGCTGTTTTTGTATAACAGGCTACTATTTGGGGAGCATAGGAAGCTCCTAAAAATATCTTCCACTGAAATAAGTGGTAATGTTTTAAATTTCTGAGATAATACAGCCTTTGGGCTCTTGTTTGAGTACTTTAACAAATCCAAAACCAGTTGTCTTTTGGTAGCAGTGGTGGCACTACTTGACATCATTCAATCTCAAATTAATAAGACTGTGGAGGAAGATTTAAATGTTCACACAAAAAATGTCATTTCTGCAGGATTTGTGGTATTATGATGTGGTAGTATGGTTTTCAAACTTTCTATCAGTTGTGCCACACTTTAAGCAAAGGAACCCTTGCTTGGAAGGAACAATGTATAAGAGACGAGAACAAAGCCACTCTGGCCAAGGGACTGTGAGCAAGAGCAGAACCATATCCTCTTCTCAGTTAATTCTTTTCTCCTATAGACTGCCTGACACAGCACCGTAAAACCAACCCAGGAATGAAAGAAGCTTAGAAAAGACTCAGATGGCCCTGGACTCAAATCTCAGATCAGCTGTTTACCAGTGCAATGACCTCAGGTGGTAAAAATAGTAATATTATTAATAATACTAAAATTATATATTAATATATAATAATTAATAATATTATTAATAATACCACAATCAATAAAACTAAAATTATATATTAATATATAATAATTAATAATATTATTAATAATACCAAAATCAATAAAACAAATAAATTACACCAATTGAGCACTTACTAAGTGCCAAGCACTACACGAAATACCTTATCTGCATTAATTCAATCTGCACAGTAATATGAGATAGGTAACATCATTACAATTTTTTTATCTATGAGGAAATTGAGGCTCTGAAGAATTAAACAATTTGTCCAAAGATCCCACAGAAAGCTCAGTAAGTGGCTGAGCTGGGATTCAACCCCCTACTGACTAACTCTGTAGTCCTCATTAATAACCACAAAAGTTCCTAACTTCTTCGGCCCGGTTTGGCTCAGCCATCTTGAAAATAGGGATGGTATTAATAATCCTGAGAAAAAGTGTCCTGAACAAAAAGGCATTCAATAATTATCATTCTTTTCATAAGGAATAGCATAGGATACATGTCCTCTGGACAATCACTAATAACTTCAATGCTGAATTATCTGTCCAACAGCTCCTGCCAAATGTCTGTGTAAGCCAATTACTACTTAAGAGATGGTTCACAGGACATGCCAACTACTGAGCCTTCAAAAAAAAAATTTAGTGATTTGCCATTCCAAACAAATCAGCCAAACAAGGCACAAATAGAGAAAATAATAAATGAAGTGCAGCCATATATAGGATATATACAGAAACTAATAACTGCCTCCTAACCAATGAAAAGGAGATCCTGTTCACAAAAGTAAACAGAATATACATGTGACAAATATTTATTAAACATTTATCATGTGCCACAGACCAGTCAAGGCACTGGAGGTATCTGGGCAGAGCCTCTGTCCTCATGGAATTTACATTCTAGTACAAAAGGCAGACGATAAGCAAAGAGATAAATACTGGACATAACAGGTCTGCTGGTGATAAGTGTTACAAAAAAGTATAAACAGGATATGAGGACAGAGAGTGATGGGGGGATGCTATGCTAGATAAGGTCAAGGAACACCTTCTGACATGGTGACATTTCAGCATAAATCTGGATCTAGAGAACACTCCAGGAGAAGGAACAGCAAGCAGACATGGCTAAAGTGACACAGCCAGGAGGAACATGAAAGAGATTCAGCAAAGGCCAAATCACGTCATGACACTGCTGGCCATGGTGAGGACTTTAGATTTTATCCTGCGATGGGAAGCCACTGAAAAGTTTTGGAGAGAGGAGTGATGTGATTTAATTTGAATTTTAAGGTTTACTCTGTGGTTCTATGGAAAACCATCTATAAGGGGGCAAGAACAGAAGCAGAGACCAATCAGAAGACTATGTGCCAATCTGGCAGACCCTGGGCAAGTCTAGCAATAAATGTACAAGCCTTACACAATGAAAACCACAAAACTCAAATGGGTGAAATAAGGGCTTCCATAAATGAGAACTCCACTGTGTTCCTAGAAAAGACGCAACATGATAAAAGACTTTTTTATCCCTCAATTTATCAAGAGCTAACATTTTATAGGGCTTACTACACACCAGGCACTGTTCTAAGCACCTTACATATGTTAACATAGGCAACTCTCTAAGGTGGGTACTATTATTATTTCCATTGTAAATATGAAGAAATTGAGACACAAATCATGCAAGTAACTTGTTGAGCTAGGATTTGAACCAAGTAGTATGGCTACAGGTATTCCTCCCTACCAATCTGCAGAAGATCAATCTACAAAGAATGTCTTGGAATGTCTTAGACTTTCTCTCTATAAAACTCTTACACCTGTTCCAGACAGTAGCCCTGGGAGCCCTTCTAGATGTAAACCCTAAAGGATAGAGGACTACGGAAATGTAAGGAGGGACACTTTGTGCTTAAAGGTTAGGAAAATAGGTCTCCTGGGTCCACACAACCACATTTAAGGTCCTTCCCTCTACACCCATCCCAGATTCTCAACTGCAGAGCCTGGGCCAAAGCAAAGCCTTGAGGATCAGCCACATAATCATCTTCTTTCAGAGGCAGAAGGAATTTTGTCAGAGGCTCTATCATTTAGAAATTCCTGTTGAGAGAAATTAGGAGGCAGGAAGAGGCACTGAGCCCATACAAGGCTGCTTTTTCAGAAGCTGTCTCATTCATTCCTCAAAGATTCAATATTGTCAAGATATCAGTTCTTCCCAATATGATCTACAGATTCAATTACAATTCCAATCAAAATCCCAGCAAGTTATTTTGTGAATATTGACAAACCAATTCTGAAGTTTATATGGAGAGGCAAAAGACCCAAGCTAGCTAACACAATGTTGAAGAACAAAGTTGGATGACTGACACTACCCAACTTCAAGACTTGCTGTAAAGATACAGTAATCAACACAGTGTGATACTGGCAAAAGAATAGACAAATAGATCAACGGAACGAAATTAAGAGCTCAGAAATAGACCCACATAGGCCAGACGTGCACAATGGCTCATGCCTGTAATCCTAGCACTGTGGGAGGCTAAGGCAGGATTGCTTGAGGCCAGGAGTTCAAGACCAGCCTGAGCAAGAGCAAGACCCCCATCTCTACAAGAAAATAGAAAAATTAGCTAAGCATGATGGCATGAGTCTGTAGTTCTAGCTACTTAGGAGCCTGAGACAGGAGGATCGCTTGAGCCCAGGAGTTTGAGGTTGCAGTGAGCTATGTCACTGCAGTCTAGCCCAGGTGACAGAGCAAGACCCTGACTCAAAAACAAAAAACAAAAAAAGGGAAAAGAAACAAAGAAAGAAACAGACCCAAATAAATTAACTGATCTTTCGCAAAGGAGCAAAGGCAATATGACAGAGAAAAGATAGTATTTTCATTCATCCCTCCCAAGAGTTCAACCAGGGGCTTGACCAGACTCTCCTCCTGGCTCTGGCTGGTGGCTCTAAAGTGCTGATCACCTTGGCCATTCTGAGAGTGTGATTCTATAGCTCTTATCTCAATGCATGTGAGCCCCCGGGAGCTTCCAGATCAGGCTCTTTAAAAGGACTGCTAGGAAATCCACTCTCTTGACTGTTCCTTCTCATGAAGGCATCAGAGACCCTACTTAGAATAGGACATCCCAATCTATAAAGCCTCTGAAAAGCAGGACATTAGTCATGGCTTCTCAAGAGCTTTCTGCTCACTGAGAAATTAGGAACCTGACAGATGATAGCTAGAACATGTTACAGTACCACCAATAACCTGAAGATGCTAGGAGACACAGACAACCTTTTCTACCCCAGGCTCAAGCACCCAGAACTCTCTGTGAATCGGAGTATATCTGCAATTGGAAGGAAAAGCAAATGCCTGAAAAGGGGCAGAGTTAGGTGCCCTGTGTACTTCTTGGGTTCAGCCATACACAGCCCAATACCTGCCTTCCCCATCCCCTCCAGCCGCAGCTTACACAATAAGGAGAAAAGTCTCGAAGAAGCACACCCAGTCCACAGATAACGCCACTGAACTATATCAGGTCAGGACAGAAGAAAGACGACCTGGGACCTTTTGGAAAGAGTTTTGACAACATACAGGTTTCTGGGCACTCCCAGCAAATTAATCAGCCAGAATAGCCCACTGGCAGTTCTTTGCAATTAACTACAGTTTTGCTGAATCTTTTCAAGAGAGTCCCCTGCTGGCTAATGTGAACATTAAAACCAAACAATCAAGATGGATAAAAACAATATGACATTAAGAACATTCTAATCATTAGGTGAATCAATACAAAACTGCCTTCCATCTCTGAAACACTCAGACCAACTAGGGAAGTGAGCTGACACCTATATTAGATGGCAAAGTCTGTTACATTTTGAGTTTCAGCTCAACTGTAATAAGTTATAATGTGCTCTGAAAATTTTGCAATAGAACCAATCTCATTGCACCCAAGCTGCCTCGCAGCCAGGATCCAAACTGAGACAGAGTTATGTCCACGCATATGGTACATCCATCCACGCTATCTCCAGAGACCTAAAGTATCACAGCAGACATCAGAGAGTTCTACAAGTTTGAACCTTAAAAAAGAGATGACATGCACGATAGCATTATTTAAAAATACATATAACAAGAGGCTTCTCTCCATGCAAAAAAGAAAAAATAATAAAAAGTAAAACGAGAGAAAGCAGTTTCTGAAGCGTGGAGGAAGCAGCATCAGTTGTGGGGATTCCCGGGGCGTACCTGCAATGATCCCGTCCATCTGCTCCAGGGCAGCTTCCAGCGCGTGGCTAGCATCAGAAGCCATGGCTCCGTGGCCTGCTCAGTCTCCTCCTGCTCTTACTGAAAATTCAAATTCAGAACACAAAGGAAATTAGAGAGTCCCACATTAGGCACACAAGACTACAAAACCCTTTAATTCCGTCATCACACAAAGCACTTTCATAAGAATCCTAGGAGCCCCCGGGTGTTTCTGCGTGTTTGTGGCCTCTCCCTCCTGGCATGAGTGCTCTTTTCCCACGGATCTGTAGTACAAGATCCCGCTCACTTCTGTAAAGAAAAGCTACCAGGGCTCTCCAGAGTCACCTGTAGCAGCAAGATAGCAACTGTCACACCTCTCCACGACAGTCCCTGGCGGGGACGCTGTCAGACCATACGTGGCACTGGGTTGGTCACAGCAGACATTTTACTGTCGTGTCTGCATTTGTCCCACACCTGCAGTGCTTTCCTTGGGCGAGTGTGATCCAGGCTGAGAGGCCTCACCTGCCACTTCCATTCCTCCAAAAGGGCCCATGTGCCCCGCCTAGGAAGGTCCTCTCAGGCATAATGATGTGGAAAGAGCACTGGCCCAGGAGCACCGTAACTGACCCTCTTAGCTGCACTCTACCCAGCACCATTCAAGGTTCAGAATCCCATCCTCTCAGGGATGAAGAACATCTTCAAGGATACATAGCCCAGGGGTCCTCAAACTTTTTAAACAGGGGGCCATTTCATTGTCCCTCAGACCGTGGGCCCAGGATGAGCTGGCTGCTAAGCAGTACAGGCAGCTGTGGCAAAAACACCAGGTGGGCCAGATAAATGTCCTAGGCGGGCGGCATGTGGCATTCGGGCCATAGTTTGAGGACGCCTGGTCTAGCCACTTCCCTAAAGCTGAATCTCCAGTCTAAGGGGCCTATCTACAGCCAAAGGGAACTGCAAACTCCCTACTCCACCCCCAACCCCTGGGCAACTGCTTCCATCTCTGGACAACTCTGCCACCTAGCAAAGTCTTTAGCTTAAACTCTCTTCCTGCAGCCTCTTCTCATTTTTCTTGCTTCCCACCCCCTCCCTGGGTAGCAGGGAGGGACCTACAAGAACACTTGTAATCCTAAGAAGAGACTTAGCTCACGTCTGTAAACTGGAGCAGTTGTTTGCTCATTCAGCAAAACCTACGCGTGTGCCTAAAGGGCAGAAGTGCTGGGGAACGAGAGCATGGCTCCCACACCAGAGCACGGCACAGGCCAGGAAACAGATGGTTCTGAGGGTCTCTGCTCATTTTCCTTGTGAAGTGGGACCTTTGGAGTAGAGAGAGGAAAATAGGCACCACATAGGAGTGGCTTTGGAGACAGTGTGGATAAGGATCTCAGGACCACAAAGAATCACACTGGACTGGACTGGCAGTAAGCAGTTAAATCCACAGGCTCTAGAGTCAGATAGCCCAAGTTAAGGCCCAGCTCTGCCATGTACTGTGTGATCTCTGAGCTTGAGTGTCCTCATCTGTAAAATGGGAATAACAGCATCTAACTCATAGGATTGATGTCATGATTAAAGGGTAATTAAAATTTCATAGAAAGCACTAAGTGCATTCCCTTGCCCTAGAAAGTGTTCAATATATGTTAGCCATTTTTGCTTTCTGGTTTTGTTAAGTGAGGAGATAATCTCAGCACATTATTTTTGACAGAACAGCTCAGATGAGACATTAAACAAAAAGAGGGCTAGATGGAAGGCTAAGGTAAGAGGCTCTCTTGAGGCCAGGAGTTCAAGACCAGCCTGATAACATAGCCAGACCCTGTCTCTATAAAAAGTAATAATAATTTTTTAAAAATCAGCTGAGTGTAGTGGTGTGCACCTGTAGTCCCAGCTACTCAGGAGGCTGAGGCAGGAGAATCACTTGAGCCCAGGAGTTTGAGGCTGCAGTGAGCTATGATCATGCCACTGCACTCCAGCCTAGGTGACAAAGTGAGACCCTCTGTCTCCAGGGAGGGGGATCCCAGATAATCTCAAGAGGCTGGTTCATTTGAAGACAATAACGACAAACAACTATGCATGTGGAGGGGGGAGAAGGTAGTGATTTGCAGGTGCAAAGGCAAAGCAGACACTCAGCCTTGAGGCTGAGAACCACTGCACAGTCAGCTTGGATGGAATGAGGAGGGGCACTTACGGAGGGTTCGGGGAACCTCACTGGCACCTCAAAGCAGTGGTAGGAACCAGAAAAATGCTACAACAAGGAACAAAGCTGCTCTAAGCTAAGAACAGCAGTGCAGACAGCCACAGAGCAAACATGGTGTGGAAATCTTGGGGTCTCAAGGAAAGCCGGCTTGGATCAGAATAAAAGAAGAGGAAGCAGGATAAAGGAGGGTAGCAAAGATCAGCAGATTCTCACCTGTTCAGCATAAGGGATATTCAAAGTTTGAAATACTTCCCTCCAAAAACTTCCCACTGCTCTTGGGGTAAAATTCCAAACTCCCTACTGTGGCCTACAGAAGGGGTGCTGCAGGATCAGGGAAACTGCACCTCTCCTTCCCTGTGGCCCCTCATGCTTTAGCAGCCTTGGTCTCCTCTCTGCTCCCCAAACACTCCAAGACCTTCTCCTCCTCTGCAGGTTTACACCTGCCATCCCGCTGCCCCGAGCTCACCCCCTGGCTCTCTGTACAGCTGATTTTTTCTCATCCTTCAGGTCTCAGCTCCAAAGCATCTTCTCAGAGAGGCCTTCCCCACACCCCACACCCTCAATCCAAAGCAGCCCCTTCCAAGCACAGCAATTCCAATGTATCTTGGTCCGTGTTTTTGTTTCCTTACTATCTGACCACCTTTCTCCATGGAGGCAGGAGACCCTGTCTGCCTTGTTAACGCCCAGTTCCCAGTCCCTAGCAGAGTGCCTGGCACAAGGAAGTTTATGAATAAATGCTTGTAAATCAATAGATGGATCCATGCAGCCAGCATTGTGCTGGGTATGCAGGGTGGGGGAAGGGTGGACATTAATAAATCAGGCCCAGTCTCTGCCCCCATAGACCACATGGTCTAGTGTGAAAAGACAGATGTGTGAACAAATAATTATGACATAGTATGAGGTGTGCTGAGAGAGGTAGGTGTACAGTTTCCCTGGGTCTTGAAGGATGAGTAGGAGCTTTCCCAGAGGATAAGGAGAATGCTATTCCAGGCAGAGGGGGTGGTGCACAAAAGGCAATAGAGCGTGTAAGGGCAGGATGTAGTTGGCAAAGACCGAAATGGTTGACGAGATCATACAGGAACATCCAGCTGCTCAAGATGAGTCAAAACCTTCACAGAATTCACAAAAGCAAGACAAGGGCAATTAACGAGAGGAGCTTGAGAATCACACCCACTACTCCAGGGGGCTGGATACCAGTGCATAACAAACCAAGTAGCCTCAGATGTAAACATTAACAGTGATTTTTAACCACTTCAGGACCGCACTCACCGGTGCGAAACCTTGCCCACAGCCGGCACTCACAGTCCGCTCGATAGTCTGTGCTGTGCACTGACGACGAATCCGTTTTGCTCTGGTGTGATGAGGAAAGCTTTAAAGCACTGAAAGCTTGTTTTACTTTGTTTTACTTTACAGGCAGCTTTACTTGTCATGTAAATCAGAATAGGTAACATATACGTATATGTTTTCATTACATTATTTTTAAATGTTCACAATTTTATTTTGATAAATGAAAAATTAGAAAAGTCACATCATGGCTGTCGCTGTCAGCTAAAGTCGCTGTGTGTGTTCATCTGTGGCTATCGACTATAGTTGACACTGGTACCGAAGTGGTTAAAAGAAAGATTTCATATGTCAGCATACTGGGCCCACTGATGAGCTGTGATTGGCCCCATTTGGGGCCCTAGTCCCTGAGTGAAAAGGTGGGAGGGCAGTTAGGGGGCGCCAAGCCCAAAGGACCACAAACTATGGCCCCCTGCAACAGAAGGACCATGAAAGAAGACCCATGGGCCCTCTGCCCAGTGATGAGTTTGTACTTGGCAAACAGCAAGCTGGGTGGACCCGTGGGAGCTGGTCTGAGATGAAACATGAGTCAAAGGTGTATCCTATTCACAACACATGGCTTGCATCAGAGGCCGTGACTCCTTGGCCTGCTTAGTCTCCTCCTCCTCTTACTGACAGTTCAGATACAGGACAAAGGAAACATTACAGAGAGTTCCACATTATGCACACAAGACCACAACACCCTTTAATTCCACCATCATACCATGCACTTTCATAAGAATCCTGGTAGCCAACGCGGGGATTCTGACAACTCAGAAACAGCCAGATGGAAGAGGCCCGGGGTGAGTTACTGGGTGGAAGGGGTGCGTGGCACTTTCATGCTCTCTCCAGGGGCACCACCCTCCCAGCATTTCCGTGTGCTCAGGAAGTTCTCCAGACTCCTTCACTGAAGGTTTCTTACGGAGGCCCCATTACATAGGCATGGTTGATTAAATCATTGGTCATTCAATCCTTAGTGATTGAACTCAATCTTCAGGTCGGCTCCCTCCCTCCCCCAGAGGTAGGGCAGAAGGTCGGGAGAGGGGCCGGAAGTTCTAACCCTCTAATAGCATGGTTGGTTCCTCTGGCAACCAGCACATCCTCCAGAACCCACCTCATTAGCATAAACTCAGGTAAAGTTGAAAGGAGCTTATTATGAATAACAAAAGTGGCTCCTCTCACCCCCACCCAAGGGTTTTAGGAGCTCTGTGCTAGAAACTCAGAAAGAGACCAAATATATATTTATTATATTACAGAAGTTCCCCCTTATCCTTGGGGAATACATTCCAAGACCCCCAGTGGATACCTGAAACTCATAGTACCAAGCCTGTATATACGGGACTATGTTTTTTCCTATACACAACTATGATGAAGTTTCATTTACAAATTAGGCATAAAAAGATTAACTAATAATAGAACAGTTATAAAAATATACTGTAATAAAAGCATGTGAATGTGATCTATATCTTTCAAAATATCTTATTCTGTACCTCGAGTAACTGGAACTGAGGCAAGCAAAGCTGCAGATAAAGGGGTTCTACTATATATCACGGCATCACGGGTCTCAGAGGCAAACGTGCCACCTGACACACGC